TAAAAAAAAAAAAAAAAGGTATTTGCTATGAATAAATTATTAAGCACACAAAACTTGATCCTTCAGTCTCCAGCCTTATTTCTGTCACTATGTCCATACTTTCCTACTACAGTTCCTTCTTCATTGTTTCCAGCTTTTGTGTTCCAGTCACCAATAATTATTAACTCATCTGATTGCATGTTTAGTCAGTAGTGGACTGCTAATGTTGGTAGAGACTCTCGGTTTCCTCTTTGGCTTTAGTTATTATTGTTGATGTTTATATTTGAATAATAGTCTTATCAACAAGTCTTATGCATGTGGATAGTACCCTATCACTAACAGCATTGTACTTCAGGGTGGATGCTGAAAGTGCTTTTTTAACTATAAAAGCAACCATTCTTCCTCAGTTTTTCATTAGTAATCATAGTAGATCATGTAATTGTTATATAGTGGTTTTGGTTTTGATTTTTTTTTTTTTTTAGGGTATTTTGGTTTGGTATTTCACAAGATGCCAAACTCCTCAAATGTTGAATGCACATACCTTGTCTTCCTCTGTGATTATTTTTAATAATATTGATAGGGAGCTCTGGTAGCATAGACCATAGGAAATTGCGTTGCTAATCTAAATGTGGCATCTCTTGGCAGTTTAAGTCAACAAGCTGCTCTGTAAGAGAAATATGGACAGTCTTCTCTTGTGAGATTTACAACCTCTCTGAAACCTGCTGGAGGGTCAGCTGAGTTGGTTCCAATTCTATACCAATGAGATATATGTAACTCTTTTTCTGTATAGAAGATGCTTTTATAACTTTTTCACAATAGAGCCACTACAGTAGATTTCCTTGATATAATGATTAAACACTAGATGATTGTGAATTTTGTTGTCTAAAGAACATTTATTTTATTTTTGCAAATTATTTTAAAACAGATATTCCTAAAAAATGTGCAGTGTAAATATCATAGCCATGCTTGTAGTTGTTAGGTGCAATCAAGTTGATTATGTTTCATAGCAGTACTGTGAACAGCAGCCCCGTCCTGTGCCATCCTTATCATGCCTAAAATACTTGAGCCTGTTGTTACATTCACTGTAGAAATCCATCTTATTGAATGTTTTCTTCTCTTTCCTTGACTTTCTACCTTACCAAGTACAGAATCTTTTTCCGGGGATTGGCCTCTTCGTACAGCATGCCCAGAATATCTGAGATGAAGTGTCCTCATTCTTGCCTCTCATGTGCATTCTACTTTCACTTTCACCAAGACAGTCTGTGGAATATTCAGTATTCTTCTCCAGATTAAAAGCTTTAATTCTCCTGTCATCCTCATTCACTGTCCAATTTAAAATGCATGTTAAGTAATTGAAAAGACCATGAATTGGATCAAGCCCACCTTAATCTGTATACTGACATCATTGCTCTTTATAGTTTAGGGGATATCGTTCCCAATGCCTTCTCTTTTGATTTATTGACTGCTGGTACCAAAGGTGTTAATTGTGGATCCAAGTAAGATGAAACTGTTGACAGTTTTAATCCTTTCTCCTTCTATCATGGTGCTGCCTGTTGACCCAGTGGTGAGGACTTCTGTTTACTTGATACTGATATTTAACCCATATTGAATGATGTAGTCTTTGATCTTCTGCAGCAATCACTTCAGGTTTCCTTCTCTTTTCAGTGGGCAGGTTGTTCATGAAATCTTCCTCTAATCTTGAAATTATATTTTTCTTCATAAACTCCAGCTTCCCAAATTATTTGTTTAGCCTAGATTGAATACATATGGAAAAAGAATACAGCCTTGATGCAGTCTTTATCTTCTTTTTTTATTTATTTTATTTTTGAGGGTTTTTTTTTGTTTTTGAAAATTTACATTGTGTTTCATGCATTCATTCTCATACATTGTGGCTGATAAAATTTATCACCATTTATCTGTGCTTATTATTACCCCATCTTTTCAGATCCCCATTGCATCTTTACTAATTTATTCACCATCTCCCTCCACCATGATATCCCCCACTCCCTACCCTCAGCCCCCTCCCCTTTCTTCTTTGGATGTATACATATATCTTACTAGTTGTCCTGCTGTGTTTACAAACATTCTGGTTTTGATTTATGTCACTCTGACTGCCAGTGATTTTGAGCATTTCTTCATGTGTCTCTTGGCTGTCGAATGTCTTCTTTGTGAAAAGTCTTTTGCCCATTGTGGAGGCCCTGTAATGTTCTATAAGTTTTGTTATGAGATCCATGTCTCAGAAGGCATTGCCAAATGCTTTTCCCAGTTGGTAGGTTTTCTTTTCACCCCATTGTAAAAAGTTTGTGTTGCACATAGA